TATATATATATATATGTATGTAGAACATAATTTGTATGGTATAGTAATGAAAACAATATTAATGTATAAAAACGAAATTAAAATATTAATGTATAAAAATGAAACTATAATTTTTTTAATTAAATGAACAATATTTTTTTTTAAATTAAATCGAATGAACTATACACACATAAATATACACAAAAACACTTTTATTTCCCTTGGTAGCCAAAAAAGTTTTGTATTTTAGTAGTTCAAGGAGTTTGGAAAATAGAAAAAGTTACTTTTGTTTTGGAGGGAAAAGTATGATGGAATAAATGCAAAAATTAAAATAAGGATATTATAGTCTTTTTGCCTTTCTGGCCAAAATTCTGGCCAATTTTTTCTGGCCATTTAGCATTACCCTAATGTTAGTTACTCCCTCTATCTTTAATCACTTGTCCAATTTTTCTTTTTTTACTTGTCTCTTTTACGGTCCATTTTGATAATTCAAGAAATGACATTTTTTTTACCCATTATACCCTCAATTGATTAGTTTTGAAAAATGTAGAATTTCTTGAAAATCCTAAATTTTAAATCATCTACTTCATATTCAATAGGGGTAAAATGGTAAACTCACTATGTCAATCATTGTTTTCTTAATATGTGTGTCAATTCGAAAGTGGACAAGTAATTAGAGACAAATGAAATGTAAAACAAGAAAATCAATTATTCCTCCATTCAACAATAGTTGTCCACTATACTATTTTGGGATCTCCAACAATACTTGTCTACTTTATGAAATTAATGGATAATTTTACTCTTACTCCCTCCGTCTCATTTTATATGTCATTCCTTTCTATAAATAGTTGGTCCATAATACTTGTCATTTCATAAAAACAATGCATAGATTAGCATATTGTTCCTTTTTTACCCTTGTGAGTTATTAACATTGAAAACATACATTTGACCAACTTAGAAAAGTTAAGTAAATGATTCATGTTTATTGGTTAAATTAATTAATCAAAATAAATTAATTCATATTCATTGATTGAAAACTTGAGTTCCAAAAAATTAAATAAGGGTAGAAGGGTAAAATTACATCATTTCTTAATGCAAGTGCAAAGTAAAAATGTGACATATAAAATGGGACGGAGGGAGTAGTTCATAATTTACATTTATCAATAGTTATAGTCATTTTCCTATTACATTTCAAAACATTGTATTTATTATATTTAAAGGGTGATATACTCCATCCGTTCCTTTTTATATGTCACCTTTTTAGATTACATTTGCATTAAGAAATTAAGTAATTTACCCTTCTACCCTTATTTAATGTTTTCTTAAGTCAACTTTCAATAAATGATGAATATGCTAGATTTCAAAAATTAAAATGCATTTGGATGATTATTTAAAATTTTGAGTTTATTTCAAAATCAGATTTTATAGAATAGTGAATGGAGAGAGTAATTAATCAATGTATAAAGTACTTCAATAAATATTAATTACTTATTAGTTTTCCTAGGTTGGTCAAAATATGTATTTTAAAAACTGATTAACTACTCCATCAAGGATATAATAGGAAGAATATGGAAATTTATGCATTGATTTTATGAAATGACCAGTATTATGGTCCAACTATTTATAGAAATTGATGACATATAAAAATGAATGGAGGGAGTAGTAAGATTCTCTTTATATTTATAGTTTGTTAAGAAGTGTGCAAAGTCAATAATGAAATAATGAAAATTATTTTAGTATGCCTTTAATGCCAATTATATGGTCAAGTGATAGAGCTAAAAGCAAAAAAAGGAAATCCATTTATTCAACATAAATATTGAGATTTTATGGTTATAAAATGAGAAATAAGTCATAAGAGAGCTTCTCCATTCGTTGCATTTGACAACTGAACCCTACTTAACTTTTGACTAGTTTAAATTTTATTAATTAATATGTTCCATATTATAGTTATTAGATTATTTCTATATATATCAATTTATGAGTAACTTCATTAGTTTATCAAAAAATATTTTTGTCTCTTGTCGATACATTTTGCATGAACTTGATAGTCGATGGTGCCTTTTTTAAAGCTCTAAAGAAAGTGTCGTCATCAGAAGTAAAGTCAATAGTGAATTGTGATAATTATGCTATTATGAATTTGATAATTTTAACATAAGCTATTGATAAATTTATTTAACATATATAAATAGTATATTTCAATTTTTTATATATATATATATATATAATTATTTTTAAAATATTTTTTTGTGATACAAAGTCTTGTGTGGAAGTCATTGTTGCATTAGTCCAAAGACAATCCACCTTCTAAGATGGGCACATTGCGATGCGCTTCTTCCGTTCCTTTTTGTATTTCATTTTTACTATAAATAGTTGGTCCTTAATAATTGTTATTTCTATAAACTATAATATTCTTTCTATTTTGCCTTGGTGAGTAATAAAATATACATTTTAGAAAAATTGAGTAAATAATTCATGTTCATTGATTGAAAACTTGTTTAAAATTTTTTAAATAAGGATAGAATAGTAAATTTACTTAGTTTTTTTAATGCACGTGAATCTAAAATAATGACATATAAATAAGAACGGAGGGATTATCTAATGTGATAACAGCGAATTTCTCGTAAGTCGTGAAGTCAACTCAATTTATTATCGCCTATGATTATAGCTCTTTTTTTCTTTTTGGATTTCCCATTGGTAACCCAATCCGAATATCGATTGTCGACTACTCAATAGTCGTTGAATTCTTTTTTGGCTAAAAAATGAAAAATACTTTTCGCTTTTGTTTTTTAATTATTCTAAAATTATTTTTAAAAATATAAATAATTCAAAAGAAAATCATACTCCCATGATTCATCTTTATTTATCCCGTTTATAAAATTAATGAACAGTTTACCACTTTATATCTTTTTATTCTTATTATTAAACACTATTTATTTTTAATATTTAGATGATTTATAATTAATAGGAGTAATATAGTAAAATTATACCTCTATTTATTATTCTTTAGAAAGTGTGCCAAGTCAAACATGGATAAATAAAAATAGAGAGGGGGGGGGGGGGGGGGGGATA